TACTTCTACATTTTTTGATATAAGGTATCATGTAGTTCAGGCTGCCTTAAACCTCCTATGTGGTAGAGGCTAGCTTGGAAGTTGTTATATTCCTGCTGCCTCTTAAATATGATATATATATATATATATATATATATATATATATTGGCTACCATACCTGGGTCTCAACAAAAATTCTGAACATGATCAGACCAACTGGAAACATAGGCAGTCAGGCCTGAGGGATGAAAGGCTCCTGTGGTTAACACTAGGCACCTGCCCATGCCAACCTTTTGGGTGAACATGGTGGATGGAGTGGGGGCAGGGGAGGCATAGACTCTGCAACCATCTGGAGTTTTGCACAAAGGAAAACTGGGATGGTATTTCTAGAAGAAATGGAAGCTGAGCAGCTAGAAAATAACAGATGTTCACTCTCTATCACATTGCTTCGTGAACAGATAACAGTAATAGCTTACATTTATTAAATGCTTATTAGGTATCTGGCACTGCTTTAAGTACTTTATGTATATTAATTCCTTTTAATCCTCTCTATTTAGGAGTAGAGGCAGTTATTTTCCCATGTTACACATGAGGAAGCTGAGGCATGAAGTGGCTACTCTGTCATTATGCAAATATAAACAACAGGAGAACTCAGCTAAGCTGGCCTGGCAGCCATTGCTCCTAACCATAGTCTGCATAGATAAATGGCCCCTGACTTAGGATGGTTTGATTTGTGATACATTGACCATGATAGGAAGGCAACCAGCATTTAGCAAAAGCCACACTTCAAATTTTGAACTTTGAATTATGACCTTTTCCCTGACTAGCAGTGTGCCCTCTGATACTCACTGGACATACTGGATCCCCGAGGACTTAGTTGGCCAGCAGGTCACAAGAAGAAACAGTGTAATGTGTTATTAAACTGTAGCCAATGCTTCTGTGTCTTACAGTGTTTTCTTTTGCTTCCCTTTCTTCAATGTCTTTCTCTTGTCCTTCCATTTTGTGAGACCAAAATGTTGATACAAGCTCGGATCACCTGGGAAGAGGTGGGAAGTTAACTGAGGAAGTTTGTCCTGCTGGCGAGTCTGTCTGTTTTCTTAACAATTGATTTTATAGGGCCCAGCTGACTTTGGGCAGTGCCACCCCTGGGCAGGTGTTCCTGGGTTATATAAAGAAGGGTGGCTGAGCTGGGTGTTGTGGCTCATGCTGTTAATCCCAGCACTCCAGTACCAGAGTCAGGCAGATCTCTGTGAGTTAGAGGTCTAAAGAGCAAATTTCAGCAGAGCCAGGACTATTACACAGAGAAACTCTGTCTCTATTTAAAAGAAAAAAAAAAAAAAAGTAGCTGAGCAAGCAGCTGTCGATAAACAGCGCCCTCTATGGCTTCCACTTCAGTTCCTGCCTCCAGGTTCCTGTCTTGGTTGCCCATCTCTAGAACGGATGGACTGTTATTTGTAAGTTAAATAAACCATTTTCTTCCCCAAGTTGGTTTTACTACAGCAATAGAAACTACACTAGGACAAGGTTTCACTGTACAGCCCAGGCCAGTATTCCATTTGTGATCCTCCTGCCTCTGCCTCAGGAATACCGTGATAACAGGTCTGCAGCAGCAAATCTGGTTAATTTTTATTTCTTGGGCTGTAAGACATTATTCAGCAAAAGGCCTTGGTGCTCCCATAGACCCACGGTAGGCAGGGTTCTAATGTCCTCTTCAAGATGCCTACCCTCTGAAATGTAACACGAGAGTGACTGAGACTTTACATATGGCTGGATGGTTATTCTCTTGATAGGACTGTCTTCTTGTACAAACGTGGTGGGAGACTCACTCTCAAGATTCTAGCCAAAACAGAGAATTCTTTGACTGGCTTTGAAGGAAGTTACAAAGATTCAGAGGGACTATAAATGAAAACACCCTTTGGCTAACAGCCAGCAAGAAATAAGACTGTAGTCCTATAACTACTGTAAGCTGAGTTCTCTGTGAGATTGGAAGAAAACCTACTAGCTCCAGAGTCATCCTGGTTTACACCTTGGCTCAGCTCCAGGAAACACCTGAGCTCTACACCCCTCTCCCACACATTGTGAGAAAAAAAAAAGTGTAAGCTTACTCTGCTCATCTGGGGGTGGGGGTGGGATTCGATATCAGTAGTAGTGGCTTTTCTCTGTAGTTTTTAAGTGGTTAGCATGCTGACAAGCTCCTTCCTCCAGCTCTGCTGGTTGCGTTGTGCAGCCCCATATCACCTGAGAGGGATGGTAGCTAATCACCAGGTAGAAAAACAGCGGGTGTGTCTCTAGATCGTTTGTGTATCACTACAACTTGAAACTGGGGGTTGTGTGTTCACTTTGCAGTTGGTTATCAAATAACAACCAAAACACATTTGTGTAATAGGCCAGTGAATTTTTGTTGTAAACTTATTAAAAAGGAGACAATGTCTTGCTCTGTGCTAGGCTAGCCTTGAAGTTAGGATTTTCCTGCCTTGGCAGGAGAATGTTGGGATTATGGGCATGTCCTAATGTGCCTGGCTAACGGGAGGGATGGAGGAGGGTAGGGGAGAGGGGGAGCTGATGAACCTTCATGTGTGCTGTGAATACCATTTTGTGGTAAACTTCAGCCTGGGGTACCAGGACAGGGACCAGCCCAGAGGGACCAAAAGTGATGGGGTCCCACACACTGTAAGAGACATGATCATTCACTCTCCGAGCTGAACAAGCTGGGGTACTGGAACTCCTTCTTTACATTTCACACTTAATGTCTTCTCAACCACCCTTTCTTTGACTTTCCCCAGGCAGATAGGCTGGCATGTCCAGTTCTTAGTATACCCAGCACAGAGTGGATGTGCAGTTCATTTGTTGAACCAGCAAACAGTGTATAGAAAGAATTCAGTATTGCCCAAAGGGCAGCACTTATGATGTCTGTTTTACAGATAAAGCTCCACTGAGGTCGCTGACCTCTGTGTGATTCAAGTTCCACCAACTGTTAAAATCCGGAAGCAGTCATTTGTGCTAGGGTCATTTTAACGTATCTCACTCTTACTGGCACCAGAATACCCAGCCCTCCAACACATTTTTCAAGCGAACTGGTCATCATAAGCATTTGGGAGCGACCCCCACCCCCACCCCCCAGCCCCGGCCTCCCGAGTGCTACAAAACCAGGAAGAATCAAATTCCAAAGCAAACAGATTGGCCTCATTGCCCAGCCCAGGGAGGGTGTTTGCCGGGTTTGGCTAAAGATAGATCTGGGGGCCCTCCCCAGGAACTTCCTGGCATTTACTACTTTTGCACCTTAAACGTAACTTTTCAGAGATCTTTCCTTTGGAATCGTGGTTGAGAAACTGCTTTCCTAATCACACCATGCTGCAGGCTCTCAGAACATCTGTATATTATTTGAAAACCGAAAGAACATCCGGCTGGGTTGTTTGGGTGGGTGTGGGACAGTGCCGCGGTGGGATGAAACGGCAAGGGGACACTTTAAAAACATGTCCATATCGGTTTCAAAGAGAGGCATAAAACCTATGAAAAGAATTACAAATGGCTAATTACGTTGGCTCAATTACAAATCTGATGAAAAAACCTGTCTCCCCCACTTTTAGCACCAACGTAGGAGGAAAAAATAGGTTGCTGAGAAGCCCAAGCGATAAAGATCTCAGTGAGAGCCAAGGGACAAAACTCATTACAGATAAGCCTAGTCCTTCCATTTCCCCCGGATGCCTCTCCCTGTAGCTTACTTAAACCGAATCTCCTAGGGCGGCTGCCGGGAAACCAGTCCTGCCCCGAGGTGCTGTTCTCCCCTGCCCGGGGTGAGAGGCGCGCTTCATTCACCCTCTGCCTAACCAGGCCAAGGTGTAACCACCTTCTCCCTGAAGCCCGAGAGTTGGTAAAACTCCGCGACAGACGTTCGTGGTTTGGGGAAAGCGGGTATGGGACTGGGGCTGGATTTTGTTAGCCTGGGATCGACCCCTGTCCCTTGGCCCATCTCACAGCAGTAGACTCGGTCAATGGAAGCTCAGAAAGAGGGGAAAAAAAAAATCAAATCTCAATGAAACCTGAGTGCAAAGGCCGCTGGGCTTTGTCTCTTAGCCCGGGATTGTAGCAGGAGAGGGACGCCGGAGGTGCACTCCACCGAGGCACCGTCAAGGTGGTGAGGCCTTTCGGAAGTCCCCTCTCCATGAAAAAGGTAGCTGCTGTTCTCTCCCTCTCCCCCAGATTCCAACCGGGCCACCCTTTTCCCCTCCCCCAAGTCCCGGATCCATGAACCAGGCCAGGGATCTCTCCGAATCCACGCTTCGTCTTTAAGAATTCGAAAATGGAGCAAAGCCACGCAGACTCTAGAAGGCAGCGGGTCTCTGTCCTAGACGGAGCCCGGGTCACCAGCTCCCTTAAACGCACACCCACAGCCCTAGGCACGCCTGGAGAGGAGAGTAGTGCAAGTCCTTGGAAGCGGGAGCCCAAGCGCGGCCGCTTTAAGAGAGTGGAACGCGCGCCCCCGCCGGCGGCAGCTCGGGGATGCGCGTCACCGCGCCCCCGTGCTTGCGCGCCCCCGCCGTCGCGCGCCCCCAGCTCGCTCGCTCGCCCGCTCGCCGGCTTTAAAGTCTCTGCCAGGATCCATGCTCACATGTTACTTCCTGTATGGAGGCATGGCCAGTTTCCAGCCCCGCGCTCACGGTTCCTCCCCAGCCTGCGCCGGAGCCACAACTTTCAGGAGCATGGACTGAAGGCGCCCTCGCCCCGGCGCCCCTCTGAGATCCTTTGTGTTTCCTTGCGCTCCACTGGCCGTTTCTGTTCTGGGGGGCTCTGCGCTCCGCCCCGCCGCTTCCCTCCCTTTCCCCGCTTGCAGACATGCCTCCTTCCTTGCCGGGGCCCTGGAAGGAGCTGCCCGCCTGAAGCCCGGAGCCGCCGCGCCGCGCACAGCCCCGCCGTCGCCCGCCGGTTCTCGGGCTGCGCTGCGCTGCCGACTCAACTTGGGGCTCCTCCGCTGCTAGCCACCGCCACCCGCGGTCCTTGCCTGCTCCGGGCCCCGGGCTCTGCCGCCGTGCGCCTTCTCCTCGCCCTGCCCTATCGGCTGGATTGTGTCTGAGCGGAAAGCAGCCCTTCTCCTCCGAGAGGATCGTCCCTAGCGTGGCTTTGCATTCCCGGTCACTTTTTTGAGGTTTTCCCGGGAGCGCTTGGCAGCTTCCCGGATTCCTGCGGGACCGGTCGCCGAGTGTGGGGGGCCCGTGTGGCGGGCGAGCCGAGAAAGCCTCCAGGCTTAGTGGAGCCTCGCTCGGAAGCAAGAACTTATTCAACAAGTTTAACCCCCCTGCCTTTCTCTTTTCGATGTGCGTTTTCGGACATGCGGAGGTTACTGGAACCGTGTTGGTGGATTTTGTTCCTGAAAATCACCAGTTCTGTGCTCCATTATGTGGTGTGCTTCCCGGGTGAGTGCGGGCCGCCGATGGGACGCGGCTCCGGCCCGCGCGCGGGGTATGCGGAGTTGTCGCCGGGGCGCGGAGCTTGGGCGCCAGTCTAGGGACCGCGGATAGGGTGAAGGGGGGCCGGGCTACCGAGGAGGAAAGAGAGCTCTGCTTCATTGGCTCCGGCTGTGTTCTAGGAGGCTGATGGTCAGAGAGGGCAGAAGCAGTGGCGGGCTAGAAAGGAGGGTTGGGGACTCAGAGATGTGCTCTGACTGTGGCTTGGGATGCTTGAAGCATCTGGAGTCGGGGGTGGGGGGCGACTTGCTTTGCTGATCCGGAGCTGATCGGGAGGGCCAGAGTTGGAGGACGTCTGGGGAGATTGGCTGTGGGAAGGATGCTCTGTTGGTTTGAGTAATCTGGGGGTGCTCCCGTTGCTTCTGCAGGGATTGAAGGAGCTCAAAACCGTGACTCACTTTGCATCCCTCCGACCCTTTGTAGCGGGGAGGGCGGTGTTTGGGGATGGAAGGCGGAGGCTGGCTGCAGAGGAGTCAGGATGTGGGAAGCAGCCCGCGTTTTAGTCGCCGGGGCTGCCTCCTTTCAGCCTTGCTCCGGGCTGAGGTGCGGGCTACGCCTCAGTGCAAGCGGGAGGCAGCTCCCTAGACGCGGGGGGCCTGGGAGCCTCGGGAGGGCAGGAAGCAGTGAGCTGGGAGTTTTTGCCTAGATCCCTGCCTCGCTGGGCTCGCGGCTCCTTTCTGTATCACTCTTTTGGGCTGGGTTGCCGGGGTCCAAGTGCAGGGCACGGGTCGACAGCTGGCTAGCTTCTGGCGTCCCGGCAGATTTTTTGCTGTCTGGCGCGCCCTCCCTACCTTCATCTTTGCCCTTTTGCAGGCTGAGTGTGCTTGCCAGATCCAGACCCAGACCCGCTCATTTTCTAGCTAGGTTAAGGCTGGAACAATATTGGCCACACGATAATCCTAAATCACTGCACGTACCGGTGTGCAGCTCGGCGACCCTCCACTTCCAGCCTTCAGCCCACACCCTCCCCCCTCGGTGAGGGCAGAGGCCAGCCGCCTTCCTCTTCTCTTGCAGAGTCCGGAGGGCTGCAGCTCAAGCTTCGCTAAAGCTGCCCAGCTCCTTCTCAGTGGGTGAAGGCCACGTCCTCTCTCCTGGCTCAGGGAAAGAGGTGGGAGAGGGCGCGATTTGCTTTTCTTTCCTCGATCTCCTAAGGACAGAACACCCGGTTTTTCTGCTTTCTCATCTGCCTGTTCTGGAATATTTGGAGGCGGCGGTTATTCTAATTAAGAAAAAAGAAACGTATCACACTGTTTCCGTTTTCTTTGATTAATAGCATCTTGTGTTCTGGCTGCCAGAGCGCGGGGTTTTGGTGCAGCGGGTACCCCCAATCCCGTCGCGCACCCAGGAGCCAGGCTCGAGGACCCTCGCTGTTTCCGGGGATACTCTGTAAGGGGACTGACAGCAAGTGATCCCTTCTTTGAAGGTTTGAGGGTGATTGCGAGGGACAGAGGGCAAAATACTGCGGTTCTTCGGCTTCTTTTCCTCGGCGCATCCTCCTGGCTCTGGAGCTGTTAAAAGAGCTTGGTGATGGTGCGCGTGCCTACTCACTAGGAGGCCTGAGGTTTACCCACTAGGGTCCTGTTTCTATGGAAGTAGATGCTGGGGAGCATCTCCTCTGAGATTCAGCACCCTTCTCCCTTAGAGACCATTGGGCAGCATTTGTTTTTAATCATTGCCTTTGACTAGACCTCTCCTGTCCTCAACCTCCCTTGTCAGGGATTTGCCAGCTGAGCGCGCTCGGGTGCACCTGGGGTTGAGCCTAGTAAGGGTCACTTTTTAATAAGGGCGGTGGGAGGCAGCCTTGCAAAACAGAAATTTCCCATTCCATTTCTGGCTGACCTCCCCGGGCTGTAGCCAGTGCTTGTACAATGATCTTCTTCCCTCTGGTGTTTGAGGCTTGTAACCCTGTATGGAACCGATAGGGATGCCGCCTTGTCAAGGCTTGGTCCGTTTCAATTTTCCTCATTTTCTGTCCCTGTTCAAGCTTCGGGGTAACTAGCCCGTACTCTCAACCGGAAGCGGAGGGGTATTTGTTAGAGGCACAGGGAAGACAGCTTTTGGAATCACGCAAAGTTAAAATGTCACAGCCCTGGGAGATGCTATGCTAGCTTCAGGTTTTCCCGAGGGTGGTGAGGTGCCGCTGGACCCCAGGGGGCGCCCCAGAGCCACCCGTCAAGCTTCTGCCTTCACTAGACCGGCTCAACCACCTGCACACCAAGGGGTCGGGGCGCACGCGTCCAGGTGCCCAGGCTGAGGGTCTGCGACATCTGGCGCTAGGCGGTGCCCACAGCTCGATGCTGCCACCAGTGGTAGGCTAGAAAACCCTTGGGGACCGTTGTTCGCTTTGGGACCCAGCGCTTCTTGCTGCCATAGCTTTAAAAATGTATTTTGGCTAACCATTTTAGCCTTTGGTTTTCAATTAGGTTCCTCCTTGTGAGTTCTTAACCAAAATCTCGTATTGGTTATTTTTTGTTTGTTTTTAGAATCCCACCGACTTTTCAGCTGTATGTGAGCCCCCAGCTCCTGTTCAGAATTCAGTTACTGTGGTTTAGGGAGGCCTTTGGAAGCGGCTAGGGCTTGGGTGCTTTCCAGCGGTCGGAAGCAGGGTTATAGCTCTGAACAGCGCAGGGAGTGTGGGATCCCTGCCACAGCTGGTGCTACAAATGATGTCTTCGAAGTGCTGAGGGGAAGTATTATCAAACGTGACAGTGGACACTGTATTTTTCTAAATCTAAAACATTAGTATGTGGAAAACTTGGGACAACAGAGTAGATTCTTAGATATTTTCTCTAAAGTCTCAACAATTTCAGACGCTCAAACGCCACAACAGTATGTGAGTGGAGGGAGGCTCTACCCCGACCTGGACTGAGAACTTGAACCCTTGATCCTCTTTCCTGTCTTCGAGCGTGTGGTGTGTGTGTGTGTGTGTGTGTGTGTGTTTACAGGCTCAGTGTCAGCATATAATTTTAAATAAAATTTGAGTGTGGTTGATATAAATATTTGGTCTTTATCCCTGGACATTGGGAACTGAACCACCTCTGACATAATGTAAAGTATATTACTTGAAAGGGTTAGCTTTTGTCCCCGACCAATCAATTTTTGCATTGTTTAGCTATTTATACAGAATCATAACAAAACAATTTCTTTTTTCCTTTGGCCCTCAGAGTAATTCTCTTTGAGTTTGATGTTCGGTGTCCTGATGACATTACATCTAACAGGCTGCCCTTGCAATACTTCAGAAGCAGGAGTCTGACTGGTTTTGGGCTGGACGAGGCCGGATTGGATGATCCACCTCCGATGTCCAGTGACTCCTGACTGGTCAGCACCAGGCTTCTTCACTTACTATGTGTGTGACTCTGGTGTCTCAGTGGCTATTACTAAGACTCCTTAGGCGGAGGCAGGAATGGAGTTTGGAAGTCCTCAGTCTTCCTCTCAAAAGCTAGGTGAGATCTGAAAGGTTTCTCATTCTACCTCAATCGATTCTTGTGTGAGAGAAGACGTCTTTATCTTTTGACATGATTATAGAATCAAATCTTCTGTGTCTCCTTGCAGACATTGCTTATGGTGAGGATTGCTGATGTCAGAACCCAAACACAAACAGGCATATGGGCAAACAAGTGTAGATACAAGAAAGAACACCTGAGTCTTCCAAAATAAAGGGGATAACTTGGAAAGAAGAGTGGTTGACCTGAAGAAGGAGCATTCAGTTAGAAGAGCTTTGAGTAGCACTGTTTATACTGAAGCAGAGACTATGTTTATTACTTGAAGCTGTCCAGGGAGTATTGATGATTTAATGCTGTAAGAAAAAGCAAACCCAAAACAGAAAACAACAACCACGAAACCTAAAAACAAAAAAACAAAAAAACTCAAACCACCCTTCAGATTTAGTGTTTCTGTTGCTCCTGAGTTCACATTAAAATCACCTGCATGCATGCACTTGTTGAAAGGAATGTTTGTGCCATACAGAGTCCTAGACTGCCTCTTCTCCCTGCCCTCATTTTCCTGTGGCCATCTCTTTAGCCACAGAAGGAAATGTGGCACCCCTGAGCCTTGTCTAGGCTGGAAAGGTCATGGAATCAAGCAAGTGGACTGGCCTGGAACACATGCCTTCTGTGGTAAAAAAGAAGGCATGCTTTTATTCTTGGCAGCTTTTATTCTGTGTTTCTGTCTAGAGTTTTAATGGTAGCCTGTGGTCAGTGTCATGCAAGGTGCAGATGACAGGTGTGTGGATGATCAACACTTTCATCTTGGACCATATCTCTCGTATTTATAACTTGAAGCTTTATAGGAAGACTCAGGGTGTCAAAGTTACATGTACAGTGGTGATGCCTTCTAGCCAGCCTGTGAACTACCTTGATTCCAGGGTGACCACTCTTGGGTGCTGAGTGATTATTACTGGCCCTAGAATTCTGTCTCCACCAGTGCAGGGTATAAAAGACATGTATTTCTAGTAATAAAGCAAAGTCAAGGAAGAAGTTCTCTGTGCTCAGTTCTCCCCCTACACTTGATCTAGGGAAAGGTAGTAGCATGTGCAGTAGAGGGAGGGTTTCATGGAGTGAAACTTGTTCTCAGGAGAGTGGGTTCTCAACAGACCTGGAGTTTGGCATTTGGTCACTGGGCTTGGTTAGGCACTAAGTGGGATCATCTTCTACCAATGTTGAGTTCTCTAGACCTGCAGGGAGTATTGGCAGGATTAAAGATCACAGTCCTCAAGCACTAGGAGGCAGAGGCAGGAGAGTCTCTGTGAGTTTGAGGCTAGCTTGGTCTACAAGCTGAGTTCCAGGTAGCCTGTGTTCTGTTACACAGAGAATCCCTGTCTCAAAAAGAAAACAAAGCAAATCAAAGCAAACAAAACAAAAACAAAACAAAACAAAACAGAACAGATCTCCTGTTCCTAGTCTCAGAAATGAGAGCAACCATGTTGCCAGGTGAGAACTTCATGGGAAGCC